TTTTTTGTGTAATCGGTTAAATGATTTCAGGAGGTTTGGGTTGTGCTCAGTTAACTCCAAACCCCCCGGGCTGATCAAAGTGCCAACTTGATCCCAGGGAATATCAGTGCTGTGTCCCCATCACTTTAATCCTTATTTTTGGTCCCCAAAGCCAAAAAAACGGGATTATGGGATGCATCCAAAGCCCCTCAGCCTCTGCCAGATCTGGTTTACCCAGAAAATCAGGTACAAATTGGGGTGTTATGGAAGAGCTGAGCCCCAGCCAGTTGGGTGGTGGGAGGTTGGTACCTTCAGGAGCTGCTCGAGGGTTGATCCTGGCGGGGTGGTTTCCCTTCCCAGGGACCAGTGTGTTGCTTCAAAAAAGCTGGATTCCTTCCTTAAATATCAATTGTTTCATATTATAATTAATATAAATTATATATATTTCTATAACATATGTATTGTATACATTGGGCAACCTGGTGTCCCTGCCCGTGGCAGGGGGTTGGAACCAGATGGTTTGAAGGTCCCCTCCAACCCAAACCATTCCATGATTCCAAATAATATTTTAAGTTCACAACTCCAGACCTTTCCAACCTCCACAAAAGCCTCGTGCAATGCACCATTTTGAGTTAAACCCCTTAATTCCGTGGGTTTGATGCTAATTTTTTAATTTCCTCCCGAAATCACGTCGCTGCCGTGCACCACTTCAAGAAGGGACCTGTTTGGAGGGAGAGGCTTTAGGGCTTCGTGGATTTTGTCACAGTGGTGACACTGATTGGGATTTGTGGGGTTTAGAGCAAAAATCCCAACCGTGCAAAGGCAGAACGAGACCCCAAAATGCGACAGAGCCCTGAAATTCAGGCGCCTCCTCCCCGAACGCTCGAAATTCCCGCGTGATTCCCTCCCGGGGCTTGGGGGGTGATGACCCCTGTGCCATAACCTCTTTCTGCTCTGTGCAGGATGAGAGACACGAGCAGGAAAAACAACGTTTTTGCCCAGTTTCGGAAAAACGAGCGGGACAAGCAGAAGCTCATCGACACCGTGGCCAAGCAGCTCCGCGGCCTCATCAACAGCCACCACTCCTGAGGGAGCTGGGTCACCTCCTTCCCAAACCCCCCCTGGACTTGGGGATTCCCTGTTGAAAGAGAATATATGTATTTTTTTATTCACCTGTAATATTCCCAGAACCTTCCCCCCCCCTCAAATCCTGACCCCTCCCCTTCCCGATGACAAAACGCCCCTGGTGAAACAATCCCTGGGAAAAGAGGGGGTGTCGGGAGGCTCCTGGGAGAAACTCCTATTTTCAGGGGTTTAGAAAGCCACTGGGAAATCCTAAAGCCTGAGAGGGAAGCTCACACCCCAGACTGTTTTCTTGTTGGATTGGCCAAATTACAGGGATCATCCTGCCTTCCTTTTGTTATCCCCAAAAAACGGAGGGAGGACCTGCGGTTTGGGTTCTTCTCGTGGGCTCTGGTCGAAGGGAAGAGGGTCACCCCTTAGTGTGTCTCGCCAGCTTGTGGTTTGGATTTAGGTAGGAGAAAAGGCAAAGTGATTTCCCAGTTTTTCCTCCTTGTTTTCCCCTCTAAGAGCTGATTCCCACCTTAGGAAAGGGAGATCCCTGGAGATCCCGGGAACTTTTCCTGTGTGTCTGTGACTGGCGTGGCCACCCCTGAGCTCCACCACCGGGACCTGCTGGGGTCTGTGGGCCTGTCACTGGGTGGAGAAGGGCTTTAGAGCTGCCTCATTAATTAGATTTGGAAAGGGAGAGCCAAAGGATAACCTGGCAGGGTGTCCTGTGGAGCCGGATTGGTGCTGGAATGCTGCTGGAATTCGGGCAGCAGGAATGGAGGGGTGGCGTAAAACTGAGCTCTGCTGACGTCCAGGGCTCTGCATTCAGGGCTTTTCCCCTCTCTTTTCCATGCTGGTGTCCCATCTTCCCTCTCCTCTTGATGCTTCCCTGGGGTAAAGCCCCTCTGCTTCCCTTGGTTTGCTCCTGGATGGGACATGGAGTGGGAAACTTGTGGAATCCCCGGCATGGAGTCAGCAATGCTCAGCCCCCCCAGCTCCAAAGTGCCTGTGGACAAAATTCCCCTCAGCTCTGAAGGTTCCCAAAGATCCTCTGCTGGAATCAGGCAGCTTTTGAGGAGCGGGGCAACATTCCCAACAGGATTTTAGCTCCGGGGTTCAGGTTACTGAGGGGGATTTTCACCCTTATCATCTCGTTACCCTTTTGACTCCGAGTCCTGCAGGTGAAAACTTATCCAGCCCCATTCCCCACCTCCCAGACCCTCATGGTAAAGGGAATTAAAAATCTTCCTGGTGGATGTCACAGCCCTGGGAGCGCCCTGGGAAATGTGCCCGTTTCCCACCCTCTGGATGCACGAAGGGGACGAGGATTTATCCTCTCTCCTTGTTCCTCAGCGAGACTTTTGGGGAGTTTGTTTTATTTTTGGGAAGGATTCGTGTTGCTTAACCCTGGAAGTGAACGGAAATATGGTCAGGAATGACCTCCTGGGGATGTTGTCCTGTCCCAGCCGCCTCCATCCATGAGGACCAAGGGATTGTTTTCATTAATAAGAGGGAAAGCCCATCCTGGCATTGTGGTTCCTTGGTTTTGGAGGGGGATCAGAGGTGATGCCTCTTGGAAGGACATGGAAGGAGGACGAAGGAAAAAGAAGCAGGTGAAGGAAAGTTGGTGTCACGTGGCCAGAAATGGATCATCTTTGTAGACAAACCCCCAAACGACCCAGCAGAGGCTTCCAGGGGGACCAGAGGAACTCAGTCAGGCTGTGGGATAAAGGGAGAAGGATCAGGATCCTCAAATACAGGGAAGGGATTTTAGTGGACGAAGCGTCCGCTGCCGCCCTGAAATTCCATTTTTGCCTCCTGTATTCCGTGTTCCTGCAAGAAAACCTCAATGCAGCTTGAGGGCTTGAGGCAACACCTTGTTTCCCATCCCCATCCCACATCTGGGCTCTGCTTCCCATCTCCACCAAGAGCTTCAATTCCCGAAGGAGCAACACGGCCCTGCCATGCCTGGGGTGGGTTCCCTCCCTCCTATAAGCTCTTTTTGGAGAAGTTGGGATTGGGATCCCACAAACCAGCTCCTGGCCCTCCAGACTTGCCACTGGGAAAGTCACATTCGGCCAAGGGAGGGATTCGGGGAGTTCCTGATTTCGGGAGGTCAAGAGCCTGAACTGCGAGTCACGGCCCCGGGATGAAAAATGGCATTTTTGGTGCTCTGGTCCTAATTAACTTTTTTGTTCCGAGAGATGCGGCTCCATCCCCTCCCAAATAAAATTAATCTTTGGAACAGATTGCCTAAAGAGCCCTGGAAGACATTCCAAATCCCCTCTAAGTCCCCTGCTAATGACGGGGATCCTCCTCTGGGGATGGAGTCGCTCAGGAGGGAAAGGGAATTTTTGAGGAGGGTGGGAAGAGGGAGCAGAATCCTCAAATGAAGATTTGCAGCCCCCTCAAATAAATACTGCTGCTATAACCCCTCCCTCCCCAGACACTTAAAGGGTTTGAGTTTTTAAGCAGTGGCTGTAGAAAAAAAAAATTGGGTTGTTCCCCCAGTTTTTCCAGCAAATATTCACAAAAATATTCCAGGAAAAAAACCCAACAAACAGCACCAGTGGGGGAAAAAAATACATTAACAAAAAAAACCCACCCAATTTTGGCTTCCTGGGAAGCATCTGCACTTCTTCTCCTCTTTATCATCTTGTCAGGCAGCCCAAGGGTTGGGAATAACTCTATATAAGGTGGGAATTTGCAGCCCGAAGTGTATCCATAGGTGAGGGGAGCGTTCTCTCTCCGTGTGAGAGAGAGGAGGAGGCTTTTCCTGGGATTTTTTTTTGGTTTATTCCAAGGGCTGGATTTCAGGTCAGAGACTCCCAGCGATTTTTGCACTTTGTTTTGGATCCAACCTCAGCTCCCGGCTCGGATGGGGCCGGGAGAAGTTTGGCTGGTGCTTCGTTCCAGGGGCTGCTTTGGGCTCATTTCCTTCAAAATCAGCTGCTTTTGTGCTGCTGGGAAGATGGAATTTTGGGGCAGGAGGGGTGGGGGGGGTCTGTGCTGGCCCCAAACTGGGAGATGATGGGATGAGGAGGCTGAGATGGAGCCAGGGCTGCTCTGGTGGCCTCTTGACTCCTTGTGCTGGAGCTGCTTTTGGGGGAAAACCACCCCTTCCCAGCAGTGTCCAAACCCCAGGGAGAAACATCTCCACCCTTGGATGTTTCCTACCCCTGGCTGGTTTTTCCCTTTAGTTCTGGGTTGGGTTTGGTGCTTTTTTTTGCGATTGTGGAGTGATTTGGAGCATGGGAACACCCTCCCATGCCCCTGTGGGGTGTGTGTCCCACCCCTGGGTGCCACAGGGCTGGTGGGATCTCCGTGTTTGTCCCGCTGCTGGGAAGCACGAAGGGAGCACAAACCCCAAATAAATCTCATCCCAAATGCCTTCAAGATGCTCCCAGCCCGGCTGGTCCACTGGGAAAGTTGTGAGTTTTGTGGGAACCGACCCAAATTCCCCGGGATCCGGGTGGGATTCACCCCAAAAGTGCCGGATGGAGAGGGGGAAGCTCAGCCTGGGACTTGGGCACCGGGTGATTTGCTTCATCCCAGATTTGCTGCTCAGGTCTCCAACCCCTGGATTTGGGAATCTTTGCATCCATGCCCCCCTGCAGCTTCCCCCAGTTTGGGGGGGAGGGGGCAGCACCCCAAAAATTCCACAGGCAGCTCAGGCTTCTGGAATGCTGTGTGTGCTGAGCTCTTTCCGCCTTGGCTCATCCCTCTGATCCAGTTTTGACAGGAAAACACTCCATCCCCATCCCTGCCCCCATCCCAATCCCTGCTCCCATCCCAATCCCTCCCTGTCCACCGGCTGCTTGGGTTGCCTTTTCTCACTTAATTTGTTTTTAATTTTTTTGGGGGGGGAGAAAGGCCGTGATTTTGTAAACTGATGTGGTGAAAAAAACAGCTTTTTTTGCACAAGTCGTTGCACAATAAGGGGAAAGTTCAGTAAATTAGGTTTAACTTTAAAGGGAAAACTTTTTTTGGTTCTGTTTTTGTTTTTTTCCTTAAAACTCACTAGCAGAGCTACTGATTTAAAAAAAAGAGAAGGCAAAGAGCTGGACTGATTAAGGAATGGACTGCATGGTTTTTCCAGGTGGAATTTGCTTTAGAATTTAGCATGTTGAATTCCAACTGTACATTTATCCTGTTGTAACTTCTATTAAACAATACAGCAATTAACTGTTTAATTAATCAAGTGCCTGTGCATCGCTGGGAAGGCTGGAAAAAAAACCTGAAATCCTAGAAAAAGATAAAATTCGAGGTCTCTTTTGGACAAGCAGCAAAGATTTGCTGTTGGGACACATGGATTTAGGGAGAATCCCATGGGAGATAATCCCTGGATGGGCACTGGCTCCCACAGCCCCTTGTGGCATTGGGACACTATGAGCTAAAGCCAAGTTTGACCTAATTTGGTGGTTGTTTTAATTGGTTTCTATCAAAAATTCTTAATTATGAGGGTGGGGAGGCCCTGGCACAGGTTGGGCAGGGAAGCTGTGGCTGCCCCTGGATCCCTGGAAGTGTCCAAGGCCAGGTTGGATGGGATTTGGAGCAACCTGGGCTGGTGGAAGGTGTCCCTGCCCATGGCAGGGGGTTGGAACGAGATGATCTTCCAAGTTCCTTCCAATCCAACCCATTCTGGGATTTTAGGATGATCCACAAGCATGATTAAGCCCAAGTCTTTGCTCTCATTGATTCCATGGAGGTTTGCAGGTGGGGAAGGTAATTCCAAGCAGGAATTAACTCCTGGAGGGCAGAGCCGAGCTGTGGGCGGCCCATCCCGGAATCCTGGGATGGTTTGGGTTGGAAGGGACCTTAAATCCCATCCAGTTCCAACCCCCTGCCATGGACAGGGACACCTCCCACCGGAAGGTTCATGGAGGCAGAGCGTGAACATTCCCTGGGCACGTGGAGTAGGGAATTCCAAGGATATCAAATCAACAAGATGCACTAATTAGGAAGTGGCCGACTGGGAGATCTCGTGTAATCCCAGAGGGATCTCAATGGGGCCTGGATGTGCTGAGCACACCAGGATGGGAGAATTTGGGGTCCTCCTGGGAAGGGTGGTGGGGAGGTTTCATGGAAGGCTCAGGTGGATGACGAGGTTCAATGTGTAGGATGGAAGGATTTAGGGAATATTCCCGGGCTGGGAGACCTCCTGCTGCAAAGCAAAGAATCCTGGATGGTTTTATGTTGCAGGAATTCCTCTAAACTCCTTTTTTTAAGCGATTTTTCCCTTCTGGGATCTGTCAGATCCTGGGGCAGGGAGTCCCAGGTGTTAATTTTCAGAAGGAAAAGCTCTGCCTGGTGGTGTTTGTTTGTCATTCAACCTCTGCCAGGGGCAGAAGAGGGTGAAAGGAGGATGGGAACCTCCCAGAGTTCATCAGAATATTCTTGGCTGCTTCTGTTGGCAATCATGGACAAAAGGAAAAGTGCCACCTGACCCAACTGCAGGTCCAGGTGGGATCCCAAAAGTGCACCCAGTACCTGGATCAAGGACCTTCACATCAGCCCCTGTTGCCTTGGCCTGGTGGATTTTGGGAGCTGAGCCGTGCTCAGAGCAGCCTGGATGCTCCAGTTCAGGGCCATTTACCCCAGGCAGGAGAGATGGAGAAGTCCTGCAGCTCCTGTGAGGATGAGATGGGATCCAGCACCGTGGGAGTCCCCTGGGAGATGATGTCCTGCAGTTCCTGGGAGGATGAGATGGGATCCAGCACCGTGGGAGTCCCCTGGGAGATGATGTCCTGCAGTTCCTGTGAGGATGAGATGGGATCCAGCACTGTGGGACTGCCCTGGGAGATGATGGGCAGAGCCCTCGGACCGTGACGGCCTCTGGAGCGGGGAGGAGCAGCCACAGGTAGGTTTGGGGGCCTGGATGTGGGAGTGGGGTCACACCAAGGGCTCTGCCAGCACCTAAATCCATGCCCAGAGTGGGGCCAAACCACCCCCCAGCCCTGGGGCTGCCCAGAGTCACTTGTCTGGCTCTGGGCCACCAACCCCTTCACCCTGGGTGTCCTCAGGACACCTCAAACCACCCCCCAGCCCGTGCAGGGGCTGCCAGAGCCCAGTTTTCATAGAATCATGGAATATCCTGAGCTGGAAGGGACCCACCAGGACCATCCAGTCCAACTCCTGGCCCTGCCCAGGACACCCCAACAATCCCACCCTGTCCCTGAGGGTGTTGTCCAAACCCTCCTGGAGCTCTGGCAGCCTTGGGGCTGTGCCCACTGCCCTGGGGAGCCTGGGCAGTGCCCAACCACCCTCTGGGGGAAGAACCTTTCCCTAAAATCCATCCTAACCCTGCCCTGGCACAGCTCCAGCTGTTCCCTGGGTGCTGTCCCTGGGGATGGTGCCGGGCATAGCCCCGTCCCTCCAAGGAACAATCCCTGTTACAAACCCTCCCTGGGAACATCCTCAGGCACCTCTGGAGAAGACCAAGTTGGGATGGTGCATCCATGGGGGCAAGACAAGGTCCTACACCCCACTGAGCCCCTGAGTTGACCCCTCTGGGGTCCCTGGGTGAGTGCAGGGAGCATTTCCTGAGCCCTGGGGTCGCTCCTTTGGGTTGTCCAGGCTCTTCTCCTCTCTTAGAGTCCCTCATTTTGGCTTTGCTGTTTCTGTGCTGGGATTTCCCATCTCCAGCGTCTCAGGAATTGCCTGGCTCTTCCCACAGGTGGGATGGAGGCTGAGTGTGAGTCCAGCTGAGTTCTCCCCTCCAGTGATGCCCTGTGGGGTCTGCAGGAACCACGAGGAAGAAGATCCAGCACAACGTGCTCAGACCCTGTGGATGTTCCTGCCCTCTCCAGTGGGACAGGACCTCTGGAGGTCTCCAGGCCAGTCCCCTCCTCGAAGCTGGAGATCACCCAACAAGGTTTTCTTTCCTTGCTGCGTGTTTTCCAAAGCTGAATCCCAAACCCACAAGCAGGGAGGGGTTTTTTTTTTCCTCCTCGTTTTCTTCGAGTCGGGTGAGACAAACCCTTTTCAACAGATACTCCTGAGCATTTATTTCCTCCTGTCTCTGTCCCTTCTTGCCTTCACCTCGGTTCACCTCTTAACCTCCTTCCTGGATGAGATTGGCTGAGGTTGCAGGGGAGTGGAGTTGTCAGGTGAGCCTGTCTCCAGCCCCTGGGATTTCTCTTCCATAAGGGAGCCAGGGAATGGAGCTGCCATGGGTCACAGGAAGGATTTGGGGTTGGAAGACACCTGCATGAGGCTGGGGGTTTGCTCTCTCCTCGTGTCCCATGTACAGGGCTGTCATCCAGAGCTGAAAGAGGGTAGATTTGGGTTGGATGTTGGGAAGAAATTCTTCCCTGTGAGGGTGGTGGGACACTGGAATGGATTTCCCAGAGAAGCTGTGGCTGCCCCATCCCTGGAAGTGTCCAAGGACACATTGGACAGGGCTTGGAGCAACCTGGGCTAGTGGAAGGCGTCCCTGCCCATGGCAGGGGGGTGGAATTATGTGGCTTTTAACATCCCTTCCAACCCAAACCATTCTGTGATTGTGTGATTTCTTCTGCCACGAGTCAAAAAAATCCTTCACT